AGAAGGAAGGAAGGAAGGAAGGAAGGAAGGAAGGAAGGAAGGAAGGAAGGAAGGAAGGAAGGAAGGAAGGAAGAAAGGGGAGGAAGGAAGGAAGGAAGTAAGGAAGGAAGGAAGGAAGGAAGGAAGGAAGGAAGGGAGGAAGGAAGGGAGGAAAAATTAAATTTGTTTCTTCTCCCTTCCCCTCACCTTTCAAATAATACCCTGATATTTTCCACAATATGAGATTTTTAAAAAATTGAATTTATTGGAGTGACATTAGTTAATAAAAGTATATAGGTTTCAGGTATACAATTCTACAATATATCATCTGTACTATATTGTATTGTATTTACCACCCCAAGGCAAGTCTTCCATCACCATTTATCCCTCCTTTACCTTCTTCTACCCCCACGCCCCTCCCACCTTCTAGCAATTACCACACTGTTGTCTATGTCCATGAATCTTTTTTCTTTACTTAATCCCATCACCCTTCTCACCCAGCCCCCAACACCCTCCCCTCTGACAGCTGTCAGTCTGTTCTCTGTGTCTGTGACTCTGTCTCCACTTCACAATATGTGATTGACTCTACTCCCAGGTCCGTGGGTGAGCCCTGACTGGCTTAAAGTAACCAGCATTTCTCTTCCCCAGGCCACAAAGATTGGTCCAAGAATGGGCACATAGCCCAGTCCAAGATTTTTTTTTAATCTTTATTGTTGAAAGTATTACATATGTCCCCTTTTTTTCCCTATTAACTCCTTCTAGCCCACACTCACCTTCTGCCCCAAGCCTCCACCACATTATTGTCTGTATCCATGGGTTATGAGGGTTTTTAAAAAATAATAATAATAATAAGGACTCCTTAAAAAATAGATTCTTGCCCTGACCGGTTTGGCTCAGTGGACAGAGCATCAGCCTGCAGACTGAAGGGTCCCAGGTTCAATCCCAGTCAAGGGCACATGCCCAGGTTGCAGGCTCGATCCCCAGTTGGGGGCGTGCAGGAGGCAGCCATTCAATGATTCTCTCTCATCATTGATGGTTCTATCTCTCTCTCTCTCTCTCCTTTCCTCTCTGAAATCAATAAAAATATTTTTTAAAAGATTTTTACATTCTGTCTGAAGTTGACATAGGATGCATGTAACCTTAAGTGGTTGGCAACCATCTTTAGACCATGATGGAGAGCCTACGTGAGGATGGTGGTGGGGACACAGAGATGGTGAAAGAGAAACTGGGACCAGGTCCCAGCACTTACCCCACAGATGAAGGCTCCTGAAGCCTGTCCTATCTCTGGCCTCTGTGGTTACTGCTTTCATTCCTGTTTTGCTTAAGCCAGTTTGAGTCTTATTTTATTTCACTGAAAAATTGCTGATGCACAGGCTAAAGGGACCCTCAGAATAAGGGAGAAGTGAGCATTTGCAATAATCTAGCACTCTGCAGTGCAGCTATTCAAGGATGAGACCAGAGGAATCTAAGAGGCCTTTGGAGTAACTAGCCATGAAGGGTGGCATTGGGATGGAAGTGGAGAACTGGCTCTGAGCTTCACCAGGAAAGAAGCGGTGCCAGCCAGAATGGTTTCTGTCCTGAGCCCTCCCTAGATCAACACTACTGCCTTCTCCTCAGGGTTAAGGAAGGCCACCAACTCCTCCCTAGAGAAATGATGCAACCAGTCACTAGATGGCAGCTGGATCTGCCAGGAAAGAGTTGGGAAAAAACTAGAGAAAGATTTGCTTGAGCAGGTTCCAGGAATAAAAAGAGGCGAGTAGAAACATGGGGGAGGGGCCCAGTGGATAAAACGTCTGACTGAAGGGTCCCAGGTTTGATTCTGGTCAAGGGCACATGCCCAGGTTTCGGGCTCAGTCCCCAGTAGGGGACATGTGGAGGCAGCCAATCAATTATTCTCTCTCATTATTGATGTTTCTCTCTCCCTCTCCCTTCCTCTCTGAAATCAATAAAAATATATTTTTAAAAAGCATGGGGGAGGGGAAGATTGTGAAAGAAAAATTGCTGAAGGAAAAAGAAAACATGGTTAGAAACGTAGAGAATGGGAAGGCAATATATGAGTGGGCTCGGAACCAAACAGATACCAGTTCAAGAATAGATACCAGTTCCATCTCGTACCAGCTGTCTTAGTTCATCTCCCTAAGGGTCCCTTTCCTGTCTGTAAATGAGCATGATAATGCCACTTTTAGATGACAGAATTATAAACAGGAAGCCCCTAGCAGAGTGTCTGGCAGGAGTAAGCATTCTTACTTGTATCTCATAAGAATAAGATGAACGAGCCCTGGCTGGGTGGGTCAGTTGGTTGGAGCATCATCCTGTACACCAAAAGGTTCCAGGTTCGATCCCTGGTCCAGGCACATATGGAGCCAAATGATCACATCAATGTTTCTCTCTCTCTCTCTCTCTCTCTCTCTCTCTCTTCCTCTCTCTCTAAAAATCAATGAAAACATATCCTCAGGTGAGGATTTTTTTTAAAAAAAGAAGATGGATGTATACAGGAAGACAGGAGAGGAAGAAAGTGAAACACTGTTTTACTCATATCCTGACCCTCCTCTGTAGCAAGCAGCGAGGATTCACTAATTAAAAGAGATCACACTAAAAGAAATGGCTTTTGAAAAGTGCCAGTGTTTACTTAATTTCCTCTGTTTTGTACTATTCTCTCACAGAGCCATGTAGTAAATATGTGTTGAATT